CATACATATGATAGGGGCACACATGATAAAAATAATTAAAAAAATATTTCATTTGATAAAAAATAACAGACTACCCCTAAATTTCACTCAAAACCATTTTGTACAAAAAAAAAACAAAAATCAAATATTATTTGATATAACAGTGTGATATAAACAATCCTAAACATCTATTCATATCGAAATGCTGAGATGTGGGGGTGGGTCACATAAAAGGGTGCGATTTGTATAGAGCCTAGGCTCTAAACAATCAAGTTAGAGCCCACCTTCAAATAGTACCAAGAAATGTGGTTTTATTATTGAAAATCTATGTGATAGCTTTAAAATATATTTTTATATTTAATTATAAAGTTTAAAGCTTCAAAAATATTGTAGATCGACAGATTTATGAAAACTTGAAATTCTTAAAAATTGACGGTCCAAAAATGTGTTACAAAATACACTATTTTTAAAACTTGAAATCCATTTTTTCTCACGTCCATGTATCTTGATGTCGAGATGGTTGATTTGAAGATATTTGAGCATCAAAACATCCTCTTCTAGTGAAATTTTTGAGGTAGGTACAAATTTGATTGTTTAGGGCCTCGGCTCTATATAAACTTTCATAAAAAGAAAGGAGAGATACTCATCGCTAGAGGATGATAACGAGGTGCGTATTTGTCTTCGTTGGCAAGGAAGAGGTTAACCAGCTATCCTTTTCTTTTTTATTAGCCCTTCAGGATAGCCGTCCAATTTGGATATCCTCAAATTTGAAACATCCATTCAAATAGCAACAAAAGAAGGGTCTCATGCCTAGCTATAGGCAAAATTTGCATGTATATGTTTTGATTGAATGGATATATGTAAGTATTATTTTTGTTTTTGGTAATCTAGTGGAGAAGACATGTCCGTACACGTTTTTTCAAATAATTTAAGAGTAAGTTTTTTTGTATTATTGGGGTGGTATTAGTGAAAATGAAAACTAAAATGTGGTAATTATGGTGTGGGGGTGATACCACCACGATCCCAGCCCATGGACACACCCACACGTGCTTAAGTAAACTTTGGACGAAGAAGGAAACTTGGACATGATGTTTACTCCTTAAAGAATTACATCAGGTTTTTAATGTCTCTATATATTTAAGTTGTAGCCTTATTTATAGAAATAACGTTGCGATGTTCTATAATATCT